CCTCACCTCCCTCAAGAGAAAGGTAGGAATCGATGGCCTTTGGAAAGCCGGCGAGAGATGAGATAGTACGGATATGGGAGAGGAGCTTGTTCCATAGTTTAGAACAAAGGCAAAGGAAAAAGTTTTGTCTAAAGACAGTTCGACATGTCGACAGTGAGAGTAAACATCCTGAGTTACGGATATTATAGGGAGTACGGGAAGGAAATTCAGGGCAGCAGTCAGTTATGTAAGCCCGCCGGTAGATTAGGCGAAGTAGAAAGCCCCTGGATTCAACCTGATGCGCCTTAGCCATAATGGATTCAGCCCAAATGACAAGCAGGGAGGACGATACAGTAGTGTGGATGACACCAGAAACAGGGACTTAGTAAACGAGCGCTGCACATTCTCCACAGTAGTTCGGCATATCTGTGAATACTGTGAGGCGAATTCAGGGCTGGATTTAAGAACCGGTCTTACAAATTGTTTAAAGATGGCAACTAAACATGATTTATTATGGAGGGAACGGCGAATGTAAGCGTAGAGCTTGCCAGCTTTAGCCACTCTGTACCTTGTGTGTTGGTTGAAGATAACTGTACAAGATTACCCAAGGCCTAGGTCTCTCACTTCGGGAAGAGTAGGAATCGACAGTCCATTAAGAGTAAGCGTCCCAGGAGGAATTTGGAATCGATGTGTCAGTGCTTGGCATTTTGGAACAGCGAAAGAAAGACAGGAGTTGGAAGACCAGAGTGCTAAAGAGTTCAAGTCAGACTGAATGTTAGCAAGTGTAGAAGCAGAATCACTGGCCTTAAACGTGTAAGCTATCTTAATGTCATCAGCAAACAGAAAAGGGGATCCATGGGTGATCGAGTCGGTGACTTTATTAACGTACACTAAGAACAGTAGAGGGCCAAGCACACTACCCTGAATAACTCCACCGGTAATGGGGAGGGCTGAGGAGCAGAGATCCCCGATTTTGTTGGCCTGGGTTCTACCGGTGAGGTAAGAAGCGAACCATCGCAGTAGTGAGCCACCAATCCCCGTAGTTCGTAATTTGTTGAGGAGTGCACCGTGGGGAACTTGGTCGAATGCCTTGCGAATATCAAGGTAGATAAGGATAATACACAGTCCGGTATCGTAGGCGGATGAAATATGATTGAAGAAGTCAACCTGGCATGTGTTAGCTGACCGCCGTGCCATAAACCCATACTGCCGATTGCTAAGGGTTTTGGTGGCGAGCAGGTATTCCATGACAGGAACTTTGATGAGGCGCTCTAGGGTACCAAGGAGTAAGCAGGCATGGTGGATGCTGCGATAGCTGGCTAGAGCAGTTCGTGGACCTGACTTATAGTGTCGGACAATCGTAGAGTGCTTCCACTGACTAGGAACTGTGCCAGTGATAAGGGAGATATTGAAGAGATTAAGGATGAGGGTGGGGGTGTCCGGGCCACAAGCTTTTAAGATAAGTGAATGGATGCCGTCAGTGCCTGGGAAACTTGAGTCTCTAAGGCAAACGAGAGACGAAGTTACGTCAGATAAATTAGCAGAGAGTGTGCAGATTTTGGGGCTTGTCTCGTCGGCAGATGTGGCCACTTAATAGGCAGGTGGGGAACAACAAATAGATAGAGTCGATGGAGAGGGAACATAGCAGCTAGCGATGTGGGTGGTTAGGGATTCCACAATGTCAGCAGAGTCAGAGAGAGGTTTACCGTAAGCGGCCAGAATATTTGAAACTGCAGATGAATTGGAGAACCAACGCCGGCGAAAAAGGGGCCCCAGCATCTTAGGCTGTAGAAAATGGGCTACGGCGGTCGATTCCTCACGCTTTTCAAGGGCGAGTTTGGCCGTGGTAATATCAGTCAAAAGTTTGTTGATTACAATAAGGAGGGAGAGATCATGGGATTCAAGGAAGAGCCTACGACACTTCTTTAGTTTATGGCGTGTAGCGGGTAGTCGTGTGGCTGGATGACAACCAGAAGCATAGGAAGCTCGTGTAGTAGCAACTAGATTAATGATGATAGTAAGTTGCCGTAAAAGATGTTAGCCACGCTTTGCGTGTCACCAGAGTGAAAGACCTCGTCCCAGGTCTTAGGGCGCAATGAGATTGCAAAGGCCTCAAGAATGCACGGGGAAAGGATGAAAGAGGTTAAGGGAGGAAGAGCAGATGAATTTTCAGGGATTCATGGATTGAGACACAGGATCGAGGCTTTTGCCCAAGATTCCTGGGTCGGTTTTGTTCCTATCGGTCAGTGGCTGTCGTTCACCTGAAAGGCACAAGTGAAAAATGGTGTAGCACTTCTCGTTATGTTCTCAGCGCGGAGCAGTATGCTTGCCAAAGCAAGGGTTCTCATAAATGAGTGTCTAATAGTGCGTTAAACTGGGTTATAGAAGGAGCGTGGATAACCGTCGGAGGAAGGTCATTCCACGCACCTACTACCCGAAATGAGAAGAAATTTTGTCTATTGCGTGCTCTGAGTTTGCAAATTTTCTTACCACGTCCCCGCCGTGTGTTTGCTGGTTCAATGGTAAAAAATCCTCTTTGCCAAGCTTTGTTCAAAAAGGGCCCCTCGGAGGCGACGACACTCCAGGGAAAAGATTATAGTCCGCGGATTTGAAGCCGGGAACCATTCTCGTAGCGGCCCGCTGTACACGCTCAAGGAGGGTGACGTCTTTCGTGCGTCCTGAGTAGACAAATTGGTTGGCGCACTCCAAGAGCGGTCTGGCGTAGAGCCCATAGAGCCCTTGGAATTCCACTCGAGTAATACGGGAGAAGGTGCGTCGGATCATCTGTAAAATGGCGAATGCCTTTTGAGCCGATTGCTAATGGTGCATTGAGAAGCACAAGTTTGAGGAGACCCAGATGCCCAAATCCGTTTGGGCATCTATCCTCATAATGTTTTCTGGTCCCTTTTCACCATGCATAGCAAAGGCATTCGCTGAATCCCCTCCAAACAGCATATGGACGCACTTTTCGTCATTCAGAGGAAGATGCCAGTTTAACGACTACTGCTTG